TGTGTTTTGTTGCAGGGCTTGGGGACACACATGGCATGACTTTTTTTTTTTTTAAGGTAGTAGGCTCCCCAAGCCTTTCATCCATTGCCTACTAGCACAAAATGCCATTCTGTGATTCCTACTCTAGGTGTAGACGGCAAATGCATCTCTGAGTGAACAGAGTACCTCCCACCCGTGCCTCTTCCACGTGGACCCCATCTAGCCCTCAGCGCTTCTCCTGGAATTCCTTCCTCAAACAACCAACAGGTGAAGTCCACACGGGCACACAGAGGCTGAGGTCCCCAGCCTCACACCAAGACAATCAGTCCTGCCAGACTCGGACACAATGAGAGGCTGAGAGATAGAAAGTAGGGAAGACTCACGCTGCCTCTCTGAGACACAGATGGTCCCCAGGACTCCAGAACACCTCGCACTTGGCCTATATCAAGCCAAGTATAAAATAAACTCAAATAACCACAGGTTATTGGCCTCAACCCTGCACTTACAGCTTTTTACTTCCCACAGTGGGGTACAGGAAGCTTTTCAAGAACACTCCTGATTTGGAAACTCTGATTGCCTCATCCCTGTTAGTAGAGAAGATAACTCCAGAGGGATTAAGAGTCACCACAGACCAACTCTGGGTCTCGTGTGTGACGCTCTCCCTCAAGATGGCTTCAGGATTGTCAAAGTCCGGCAGTTACCTCTCCATTAGCTAAGCAATGCCCACCTGCTTCCCACCCATCTTCCCTGCATTCGGCAGCAATCTGGGATCCTTGTAACATTCACGTCCACCAAAACATTTATAAATAGGTTCAGTGGTGCAAACTCCAACACTGGCCCAGTTAGCACCTCCCAGACCACAGACACCACCCACCTGCACCTCTGCTCTTAGTTAGCAGGGGGCTTGTGCTCAATACAAGCTAATGTTTGCCTTCTAGCCTTCTTCCACATGTATATGTGCTGAGTGTCCAACAGAGGGCTGGTGCAGAGCTGGGATTGGGGATAGTAAGGAGGTGCTAGCCTCAGGTGCACTTTAAAGGAGGGTATCCAAAAGCTCAGGAATCAAAGTAATAACCATTTAATACAGTTTACTGCAATATTTTAGAATTAAGTACATGCAATATAATCTATGATAAACAAATATAAAAAATTAAAGAGAGACAGGATTAGTTAGGCACGGTGGCTCATGTCTATAATCCCAGCTATTCAGGAGGCAGAGATTAGGAGGACTAATTTGAGGCCAGCCAAGGCAAAAAGTTAGTGATACCCCATCTCAGTCAAGAAATTGTGCGTAGTGCTTTGTGCCTGTCTTCTCAGTTACACGGAAGGTGAAATAGGAGGATCACAGTCCAGCCAGGCTGAGGCAAAAACATGAGGTCTTATCCGAAAAACAACTAAAATGGGCTGGAGGCATGGCTCAAGTGGCAGAGCACTGGTTTGTCAAGTGTGGGGCTCTGAGTTCAAATCCCAGTACCACCAAAAGATAAAATAAATAACTAAAACCAAAGAAGGCTGGGAGCATGGTTCGAGTGGTAGAGCACCACCTGCCTAGCAAGAACAAGGCCTTGAGTTCAACCTCCAGTACTGGGGCTAATGAACTTAAACGAGCTTAGGTGGTAACGAACAACACACTTGCACCATGCAGAGCCAGTGGCCTCAGCGCTGGGCTGTGTCCTGCACGCTCATGCATCCGCCTCACAGACCCAGCCTTCCAGCTGGGCCCAAGCACCTCTCAGGCCTTGTGACTGCCCTGTTGTCATAAATGAACACTGAGGTCACCTCCTGCTGGGGACAAAGGGCCCACACACATCCTTCTGGGACTGGGAACTCTTGCATGTCTCTGGATTTCTGGTATCAGTTGCATTTCTAGCCACAGCACTGAACCCGTGGCTTTCTGGTTTCCTCGTCCAGTGGCTTATTTGTGTCAGGGGCCAGTGCTGGCCTCACCTCACCATCTTCACCCCTGTGCTTCAGATTCTGGTCACAGGTGTGTCACCCCCAGAAGATGGATGGGGAGCTTGGAATGTTTAAAGCAAACATTCCCCAGGAAGACTCAGAGCCACCCAGCCTGAGCAAAGAGTGACAGAATTTCCAGGGGCTTCACCTCCATCCTCGTTTCAATGTCCAGGAGCTGCCAGCCACCTGTCCATTCAAGAGGGAGATGCAGGGGCCATAAAGGGAACGTAAGTGGCTGTGACCATGGCACGTGGATGAGACACATCTGGGTGCCAGGTGAGGCAATCATGTTGGGGGCAGTAGCAGCAATAGTCTGACGGCAATACCAGCATGGTCCCATGAACTACACACACCATTGTGTCCTGTGAGCCACACTCCCCACTCCCACCTCTCTTCTGGGTCTCTCCTGTCACTCACTGTGCCCAGCAGACCCCCGAGTCAAGCATCCCTCCCAGGGGATATTCCAAGTCAGAATGAAAGAGGACCTGGCCATCACAGTGGCTGATACCACCCTCCCACCCCTTTCCCACTACCCTTGGGTTTGCCCTATCCTGAATGAGGACCAGAGCGTGGCGGGCACCTCAGGCCTGAAGCCACCCGGTAACGAGCCTTCTAAACAAGCCCTGTTAAGAGGTCTCATCTCCAGGATGGGCCTCATAGTGTGTGACACAAGGGTCTTCAACCCCCTTGCACGGCAGGCAGTGCTGGGCCTGCTGGGTATGCATGCAAGAAGTGGGTCACACAGGTGAAGATAGTGCAAAACTCTTATTAAAAACAAAACCACATTGGGTACCAATGGTTCACGCCTGTAATACTATTTGGGAGGCTGAAGTTGGGAGGATTGGGGTTCGAGGTTAGCCTAGGCAAATACTTCATGAGACCCCATCTCTAAAAAAAAAAATAACCAGAACAAAATGGACTGAGGTGTGGCTCAAGAGGTAGAACAACTGCTTTGAAACCCCAGTTCCACAAAAGCACCTCAGTCAGAGCCAATTTGTATAAAGGTCTTTTATCACAAAAGACAATTAATCTAAAAAGAAATGGTTTCTACAAAAGCTTTTCTTAATCATTACCTACTTTTTTAACTTGTGAAAACTGAGTTTTTTACACTTTATTTCTATGTTAAAAATATAGTGGCTGCCAGGCATGGTAGCTCATGCCTGCAATCCTAGCACTCAGGCATCAAAGGCAAGAGGATCTTGAGTTCAAGGCCAGACTGGGCTACACAGGGAGACCCTGTCTCAAAACAAGAACAAAAATACTGTCATCTACTTCTAATGGGACTTTTTAAAAGGGTTCAGTTCACTGCTCTCCAGTCACACAGGGTTTCCAGTATAATTTTGAAAGGATCTCTTATGCTTTCACCATTCTACTTATATTTCAAATGCATAGCCTTGCTTTTAGGATCTTCCCTAGTGAACTCTGAGAATCTTAGAGGTAAAGGACAGAACTTAAAGACAGCCACATTCACATCTCACACCTGCTGCATTAGTAATCAGACTTTGACCCCAGTCATTTCCTTTTGAGATAACTCTTTCTGGGAACAAGCATTATAAAATAAAATTGACATTGGGAAATTAAGATCACAGTGACTCAATAAGAGAAGTCATCTTCAAAGCTGCTGGATTAATTAATAAATGGACAGGCATTTTAGTAGCGATAACTCAGGGTTTCCAGAAACTGACAAATTGGTGGGACCCACCTGGTAAATGCCGTGAAATCACTGCCAGTGTTCACACCCTATCACTTGAGCCATGCCTCCAGACAATAAGAACACCTTTAAATGTTTATTTTTCCTTTAAATAAGGTTAGATGTTGGGCAGGGAACTTTGACTCTGTAAGTGACAGCTGTTGGATCCTTTCCTGGTGCCCTGGCTGCCTTGAGTGAAGGACCATAATTCAAGCAGTCAGCCAGGCCTGGCTGCCTTGAGGGAGCTATATGGCAACCACAGCTGCTGCCGCTGAAGCACAGCTCGGCTCCTGATGGCCCTGCTTCAGCCATGACTGTTTCAACAGCTGCATCAGAACTTCTGCCATCACAAGCCTTAGAGAACTCTAGATAATCCTGAGGCTATTCTACTCAAGCCAAAGGAAGAGCTTATCTCCTGGTGGCCCAGCAGAAGACCTGTGATTGATACAAACAGTCCTTCATTTGCAAACCAGGCACTGGCTGCCACCAGATATCACACCTGCAGCGCCCTGACCTCAGCCTTGCAGCCCCCAGTACTGTGGGATGTGCGTTTCTACCACTGCAAGCTGCCTGGGCTATGATATTGTCACAGCAGGCCAAAGAGACTGTGACACCTGCTAACGGCCCTCAGAAACATGCCTGGCTTAGCCTCAGGTGGCTGCCTGGTTGTCCACTTCTCAGAGGTCGTCTGACCACTGCCTCTCAAATGCTCTTTGCTCGTTTGCTCTCACTCTTATTCTCATCTCTCCTCAAGCCCTGGACTATGCCCAGTGCACAGCAGGTACTGGGGAAATCGGATACAGGGATTTACTGGGGAAATCTGGGTACAGGGACAAGTCTTATAAAGAAAGTTCCATGTGCTCCAGGCTGCTGGAGGAGGAGAGACTCTGTCTCCAGTATAAAGTGTCTTCTCAGCACCTGACAATTCTTTTTTTGTTTTTTAAAGTTTTTTGGCAGTACTGGGGTTTGAACTCAGGGCTTCATGGTTGCAAGGCTGGTGCTCTACTGCTTGAGCCACTCCTCCAGCCCAGCACTTGACAATTCCTTCGCACCCATTCAGTTGCTTCTGCTTCTCAGAACAGAACCTGATACAGCTTTTGAAATGTGTTTGGTCCCTCAGGAAACTTAAAATGATTTGAGTTTAGAACCTGTGCCCCATGAGTTTCACATGAGAGAAAGATGAGACCTGGGGCCTAAAAAGGATGCTTCAGACTGCCCTGTGTCAGCACTGGCTGCTTTGAACACCCCACCATCACCTTGCGGGCAGCTACAGGTTTGGAGTCATGGCTGGGCAGCCTGAGTCCAGACTGGTCATACCCTCCTCCTCTTCCTCCCCCTCCTCAACACACAGCTGTTCCCCAAGCCCCACACTCACCTTTGAGGACAGGCCTCTCACCGAGGCTCCGGATGTTATAGACAGCACTGGACAGGGGCATGTCAGGGATGAGCTCTGCCAGCAGGTATCCAGAATACCAGGCACCCATAGAAGCGAAGACAAGGAGCAGCGCCTTGAAAACACCTGCAAACAGATGACAGGAGCACCTAGAGATGGCACCCTCACTGTGGACACACTGGGGACAGCACTGTCTGGCAATCTCCACTCTCTGCTCCTGCTATCCTGATGCTTCAGGACACAGGCAGAATTGCTCCAAGGGCACAGATTTGAGTGGGAGGTGTAGGAGGGGAGGCATGCAGGGCATTTGCAGAAGCAGACAGCACAGACAAGACAGGGGTGCTCTCCAGGCAGGGTGCTATACTGCTGTTGGCTTGGGTCTTAGAGCTTCCTTGGTGCTGATGTCAAGGACTCACTGAACAGGTGCTGAACAGCACCCCAAGGCAGACCTGAAAAGACCAGCATTGCTCATTCCCCATGTGAGACATCATCAGACTTGATTTTGCTCTTGGAGCCAGACTGAAACCTCCAGGGGGTGAGATCTCGGTCTGCTTTGTTTCTCTCTGTGTTGAGAATAGCATCCTGTGCCCAGCATGCGTCAACAGATAAATGATGGATGACAGAAGTTCACACCTGTCAGATCACCAGAGTGGAGTCTGCAGAGACACCCAAGGTTCCCGCTGGCAGAAAGTCTGCCGGGACACCTCTGGTTGATGGCTTGCTATTGCACTCACCAGGGCTGCCACAGAGCAGCAGCTGACGGCTTACAATTCCCAAGGAAAGCCTTTGCTCTCCTTCCAGGTATGCAAGGGTTAGGGTTAGGAAGGAAGGAAGGAGGAAGAATGAGGGAAAGGAAGAAGAGCAAGGAAAGGGAACTATGGAACCTGAAGGAGTCACAGAGTTTATAGCTGGTCAGTTGCAGAGTCTTTTTTTCCAACCCAGATCCCTGATCAGAGACAAGCTTCCTCACCCTGTCTAGGACCAGCAGATAGCTCTCCTCTACCTCCTTTCTGAATCTGCAGCCCATGAAGCTGAGATAGAAGACTGAGCCTCCAGCACACCAGTCCCCGGCTCTCTTTCCACCCTGTCCTCGTCTCTGTCCCCAGTGATACCAAACTGCTGTCTGTCAGCCCGGCAGTGGGCCCACCCTCCACTCACCCCGTCTGGCTGTGAGTACCAGCCCCCTGCCTCTCCAGCACCACTCCTACCTTCCCTTTGCCCCCTGAGCACGCTCATCTCCACACCTACACACTGTGGTTCTCAGCGGGCTTGCAGGTGCCTGAGCTCCAAGGGAGACATGCTACAGGACTTACTCTCTGCTTCATTCGGGGTTTTGTTTTGTTCTTTCAATATCTTTTTTTTTTTCTATTTTCCAGACTATGTAGTCCCCAAGATTGTTAGAACATTTTTCAAGGCTGGCTTTCTGGTGGGAAGGACCTGTGACAGTGTGGCTACAGTAGCTTCTATGACAAGTGACATCTCAAAGCAGATAACCCAGCCACAGAAAACCAAAGGAAGCTACATGGGCTTTGCACCTCGGTGCACCAGCCACCTTGTGCGGGTTGCTCTGTCCTTAACTCCCCTGCAGGGCTCATCCCTCAGCCTAGACTGTGTCTGTCATACTCACCATCACTGTGACAAAATACCTGGCAGAAATGACTTAAGGAAGGGAGGATATATTCTGGCTCACAGATTTAGTGAGTCCATCATGGTGGGAGGACACTTTGGAGCAGAGAGGCTCACATCACAGAGAAGTAGAGAGAGCACATGTGCCTGAGCTAGCTCGCTTTCTCCTTTCCCCCTTTCGCCATCTGGTTCCCTGGCTTTTGGGATGGTGCAGCCCACATTCAGGCAGACCTTCCCCTCTCAGTTAATCCTCTCCAGAACCCTAACCCTCACAGACACACCCAGAGGTCTGCTTTACTAATCTCCTAGGTGTTTCTCAATGCAGTGAAGTCGACATACAATATTAAATCATGCATACAGCATGCTCCTCCACACCTAAAGCTATGAGCCTGATGGGGACCCTTCCGTGAACGCCCCACCCCAGGTCCCCGTGCACTCCCAGGACAGTGAATGGGAGGCACAATATTCTAAAAAGTTCTGCCGAGTGGACTGTGGGATAAGACAGTTGCAGAACTTGCTCAAAGGCAGCGACAGTCCTCCGTATCCCAGGTGTCAGGTCACAGCTGTACAATTTTACTCAAATGGCCAATGCAAAGAAGAAAATTGGCAACCCAGAAGACATTCATACTGGAGATCCTGCGCCATGAGCCCCCTTTGGAGTGCATAAAGAGTAGCTGCCCAGAAGGCAGGAACAATGTGGTCCCTAGTTGAATAGGACAAATGGGAGGATGAAAGCACCCATGCCAGGGACAGGGCCACCTCATGAGGCAGTTGGCTCCCATCTCACCACTTCTCAGAGCTCTGAGGAAGGTGTAATCTGTCTGTGCTTTAAGTGAGAGGTGCAGCCAATCACCTCTAGACTGGGCACAATCTGGCTTCCTGTAGTGGCATGCTGCTGGCTGAAAGAAGCTAAGACCTAGAGCCAGGATCACCTGTTGGGTGGGAAGGCAGGTCCAGCAGAACCCCTGGGACCAGTCTTCCGTAAGAAGATGGGCACGTGTTGGGGGAGGCTGGGTCTATCACAGAGGTAAGGTGTTATCTTGGCCACCAGAAGGAGGGCAAGACTGAGGAACCAGGAAAGGACAGACAGAACCCAGGCACAGGTGCCCGTTTCCTAGTGTAATAGGGGCTTAAAAGCTGCTTTTGCTGAGGAGCGCTGACTCCTTACTTGGGCCCAGGAATTAACTGAAGGCAGGAAACAGATGATTGCCACACCTCCTTTTTGTAGAAATGGAAGGAATGAATTAACAGTGGAACCACAAAAGGGAAAAGATTTTGGTGTAGCCAGCTTGCATTTATTCTGTTTCTTGATTAAACAAACTTTCTTTCCCTCTTTGTGTAATTGCTGGAGAATCCAGTAATGAAGAATAACTCCCTTTGTTCTTCAATTAGATCAGGAGCTCTCTCTCCTTTATCTCTCCCTTACCATCAGAGCAGTAAACCTGCCAACCAAGACATACAGCTTCAGAGAAGTGATGCTGGACATCTGGAGAACCAAGGCCAGTGGCCATGGTGGACATGCATGTGGTCACGCAGTCAAGCTGAGCCCTTGACCTTCCCTTTAAAAGGCAGACATTTTCTCTCAGAAGGAACACGACAATGCTTTGAGAGGTTGACTCTCTATGTTCTCCTCTTCAACTGATGAATAATAAACCTTATTTCCTTCTCCTCAAAACCCTGCTCTCATCATTTGTAAACTGTGGATTGGCACTGAGGCCAGGGGACAGATTTTCCAGTAACACTAGGTCCGCCATAATAAGGCTGACCTTATTATGGGGCCTTCAATAGACATTCCTTTTCCCACAACTGTAGAGGCTTGCAAGTCCAAGATCAAGGTTTTGGCAGAGTTGGTTCTTTTTGGGACCTTGGCCTGCAGATGGCATCTTCTCCCTGTGTCCTCAGTGGTCATCCCTCTGTGTGTCTGTGTCCTGATCTCCTCTCACCAGTCATACTGGATCATGGCCCACCCTGATGACCTGATTTCAATTTTGCTACCTCTTTTAAGTCCTCATCTCCAAATACATTCACATTCTAAGGTCCTGGTATTTAGGGTTTCAATATAAGAATTTGGGTGGGGTACACAATTTGGCCTCTACCATGGCACTAGGCAAGCTGCGGCACAGCCTGTGGGCTGAACACCAGCAGCAAGAAGTCAGTTCCTGAGGTGACAGCAGAGTAGACAGTGACATCAGGCAGCCTGTCAAGATAGAGGTCCCAGCTCTAGCAGTAGCAAAGAACTCTGCACCCTGGGTGCAGAGAGGGTGCTTCTGAAATGGTGAAAATCCCAGGGGAGGGGAAAGGGCTTGGTGGGATAGGATCCAGCAAGGTAGACAAGGAAGTGAAGGGGGTCCAGGTGTCCTTCTGTGATGATGTAATCAGGACCCAGTCTTGCCTCAAGACAGCAAGGAAACTGTCATCAGCTCCTGGAAGTGACCTTGGCACCCATGCTTCCCAGATAATGCTTGAGGAGCCTGGCAGGTCAGCTATCAGCACAGTGTTCCTAGAGACACTCCTTCAGTGTGCCTGCATGAGCATGGTGTGAGTGTGTGTGTGTGTGTGTGAGTGTGTGTGAGTGTGTGTGAGTATGTATGTTAGCCTGATCCCCACCAGCGGATCCACAGGGCCTCTGGGGGACCCAGACATGTCACTAAAGAGCCAGGAAGAAAGCAATCCTAAGACCAGATGCTACACCAGGGTCCTCACAGGGGAATCTCAGTGCTCTCCCATCCCTTCCACCCAGTGGCCACCCAAACAGGGCCGTTGTGGGCCTGCTTATGGATATCCTCCAACCCGGATGGAGAAGGAAGCTGATTGTTCCTGGTGCCTGGCATTGTATGTTCAAGTCACTTGGTAATATCCACACCTCTTGGACTTGGGGTGTCAGGAGGGCTGAGGCTGGAAGGCCATTCTTTGGGGCTCAGCTGGTCTTGATACCACTACCCTTCTTGTTCTGTCCACCGAGACTTTTTGGTAGAAAGTACCACTTGAGCACCACGGTGTGCACCGGACCCTGCCTTGCAGGGCCATGTGTTGATGCTTGGGCTGAGGGGCTGAGATACCCACCAGCAGGCCCCCAGGAGGAGGCATGGCAGCAGCTGAACTTCTTTATCCCTCAATCTGTATGCCCAGCAGGCACTGGACTGAAGTGTCAATGATAAGATCAATGCCAAGAACACCATTTAATCTTTAGTCACAAAATCAACAGTGACATGGTTCTGGGTTTCTTTATGTGTGTTGGGGGGAAGGCTTCTAGCACAAGTACATATGCCCAGTCAAATAAAACCCTGCTGTTTTTATATAAAAGGCCACGTAGCTCATGAATGAGTCACAAGACCTGTGCGCGGAAAGGTTGTAGGTGAGTGAAAGCAACCTAATTATACTCAGCATTTTCTACACACAACAGCAAAGTTACATAATTATTCAGTTTAGAAATAATGGAGGCTGGGTGTGGTGGTACATCCCTACAGTCCTGGCCACATGGGAGGCGGAGAGATAGGAGGAGCCCTTTCCTAGGCTGGCCCCAGGGTGGGGTTGGGGTGGGTGTTAAAAAGAACAAGACCCTACCTGCAAAATAAACTGAAGCACAAAGGGCTCAACTGGTATAGCGCCTGCGTACCAAGTGCAAGACCCTGAGCTCAAACCCCAGTACCATCAAGGAAAAAAGAAAAAGAAAACAAAAATGAACACATGAAAAGCATTCTGTTATATATATGTAACTCGTGTGTCACACATGAGGGATGCATTCGGAGAAATGTGTCTGTAGGTGAAGTCCTCCTCGTGCAAACATTACGGAGTGTACCTGCACAAAGTGAGAGGGCTATGACATCACTAGGCATTATAACGTCATGGTAATCTTGTCCATATATTCGTAAGTACACTCATCCACCCTACAACCCACCCAGTTAGCAAAATTAGTGTTCATACATAACAGATTTTGAACAGAATATGAGTAATGTGCACAATAAGGTAAAAGAAAATCTTAGAATGGCTCTCTTACATTTGGGTGTGGAGCAGAAAAGCAGTGTTGGGAGCTTTCTGGAGAGTGGGTGCCCTGCCAGGCCTTGGTGTTGGAAGGACACTCTCGTGCTGAGGACACGCTCATGCTGAGACCCCTCGTCTGGAGGTAGAGCAGGTAGTGACCTCCCGGGGAACAGCCCCGTCTGACTCTTTCCTGCTTGCACAGGACGGCTGCCTGCTGCCTGCTTCTTGCCCTTGCTCTGGGAGGAGCTGGCCTCCTCAGGCTATAACAAGAGAACAGCAAAACCCAAAGGAAAGGGCACGTGTGGAGGATGGGCACCCACAGAGCAACAGGACCCAGTACAGGGCCCGGCCACGGCTGGGAAGACAGGCTCTGAGAGGTGGAGTGGCGGGTGACCACAAGGGGTTTTAGTTCCTTCTTTGCTATTTTTCCAAACCTCTTAATGATATCAAGTAGTTGAAAAAAATGAGAAAAACACAACAGTCTTATAAAGGGACACTAGGAGCAGTCATTGTCAGCCATAATGGGACATCCCTGTGTTCATTGGTCCCCACCTCTCAGCCCTCTCCAGTATTCCCTCCACACAAAAAAAGCTGCTGTCCTGCGCTTTTCACAAATTCTTAGGTTAGTCAGCTCGAAGTGTGGCTAGGGACTCCCAGTTCCAACCAGAGGAGCCTCACACAGAGGCCCAGAGTGTCCCCAGCCAGCAGAGAACCAGCCCCTTCCAGGCTGGCTTTCAGAGCATCCCGCAGAGCAGGCCGGCAGGCTGCCCCCCAGAAAAGGAGCAAGCTTGGTCGCTCCCTGCCTGCCCTCACCTATGCCCCCCCAGGTAAGGTGTTGCACTCACTCACCCACAGCCCCATGAACCTCCACTGGGGTGGCAGGAACTGGCAGGGTGACAGCAGGAAACCACAGCCAAACCCAGCTCCTCAGCTTAGCCCGCTCAGAAACCCCAGTCCCCTTCTGGATTCCTTGTCACTATTTCTGATACCAGGTCTAACAAGAGATGGCCTCACAATAGTCCTCATCCTTCCTGCCCAGTGTGGCAGGCAGGAGGAGGAGAGCGCTAGGAAGCTCCTTTTCCAAGCCCTTCCCTCCTTTGTGGCAGGTGCCAGCCAGGTCAGGGTCATGCTCACCTGCAGCCACTGGACGCATCCTCTAGGTGTTGCTTCCCTCCCACTGGGCTTTTGGTGGCAGCTCTCAGGCAAGCAACCAGCAGGAGCCTAGAAGGCTGGGCCACCTGGAGGGAACCGCCCTCGTGGCAGGCAGACAAGGGCGGGTCAATTACTGGCAAATGGAATGACAGATGGGGCAGGTTCCAGAGGCAGCAGGCGGAAGGGGTGTGGGCTCAGCAGGGCAGCGGGCAGTGCCCTGGAGTTCAGAGAGCACCAATGAGGCATGACCTGCTCCCTGCCAGCACTCACCTGGAGCAAGTACTGACCAGAGACCAGAGCTGATAGGACCAGAGAAACTCAACAGTTTGCTCTGAAGGGAGGACAAGGTGTGGCAATGCTGTGCACCCCCAGGTGTGCTTCCACCTCTTGGCTACTGAGAATGTTGCTGAGGACAAGGGGTGTAACTATCTCTTTAAGCACTGTTTACAATTCTTTTGGCTATATACACAGAAATGGAGAGGTGAGTGTTTCTAGTTTAGATTGAGGAATGGCACACAGTTGTCCACAGCAGCTGAACCACCAATAATGCCAAAGAGTTCCAATTTCTCCACTTCCTTGTCAACACTTGTTATTTGCTGGTTTGGGTTTTGTTTGTTTGTTGGTTTGTTTGGGTTTTGAGGGTTTTTTTGGACAGTAGTCTTCCTAATGGGTGGCAATGAGGTGATGACTCATTGTGATTTTGATTTGTAGATCCCCATTAGTAATGAGCATTTTTTCATATTTTTGTTTGCCATTTGTATATCTCCTTTATGGAAATGTCTATTCAAGACCTTCACTCATTTAAAAAATGGGGTAAGTAAAAATATTTATTTTGACATTGAGTTGCAGGAATTCTTTACATATTCTGGGTAGTAACTCTTACCAGATTTGTACAAAAGTTTTTAAGTTTGATGTGGTCCCATTTACCTGTTTTTGCTTTTTCTACCTTTGGTTTGGGCATCGTAGCTAAGAAATAATGGTCGGATCCAAATGCCCTGAAGCTTTTCTTCTGCTTAAGATTTTTATAGTTTTGTGACTTACCCTTAGGCCTTTAATCCACTTTGAGTTAATTTTTGTATAAGATAGAGTGGAAAGGTCCAAGGTCGTTCTTTTGCATGTGGCTATCCAGTTTTCCCAGTGTGTATGTTGAAGAGATTGTTCTTCCCTCCCACTGGATGGTCTTGGCACCTTGTCAAAGATCACTGCCCATGTATATGAAGGTTTATTTCTGCCTTTCAATTCTTTTCCATTGGTCTAGATGTCTGTCTTTAAGCGTATGTTCTTTTGATCGACATAGCTTCATAGTTAGTTTTGAAACCAGGAGGCATAAGCTTCAGATTTGATCTTCTTTTTCAAGATTGCTTATTTCTTCAGGGTCTCTGGAAGTTCCAGATGAGTTTTAGAATGGATATTTTATTTCTGAAAAAAAAAAAAAAGCCATTGGGATTTTGACAGGAAATATATTGAGCCTGGAAATCCCCTCGGGTAGGATTGGTATCTTAGCATTATCAGATCTTCAGATCCAGAAGCATAGGGTGTCTTTCCATTCATTTGTGGTAAACTGCTTTCAGAATGTTTTGTAACTGACATATCACCATTTATCTTTGTATTCGAATGTATCTTCCAACAGAGGTTTTGCTTGTTCTTCTTTCTTCTTGTGTTCTATTATTTTGTTGGTTGTACCACAATCTCTTTAAACAGACCACAGAAGGACATTTTTGGTTGTTTTTAATCTTTTCTCCTATAAACAATGCTGTAACAAATACCTTTGTGCATCACCTTGACATAAATTTGGGATAGTTTTAGAATAAATTTCTAGAAGCAAATGACTGAATTAAAAGGTATATGAATTCTGAATTTAACAGATATTTCCCTCAATCTTCCAGAACTCTTAACCACCTTACATTCCCACCGGCACCAATGGCAAGACTTCTGGAAGCTGTCCTTAGTAATCTTTTTCAAGCCACACAACAGGGAAGAAAATGTAATGACTCAACTCTCATCAAATGTCACGAAGTCCATCAGTCAGAGAGCAATAATTCCAAGGGGACCCCAGATTTTCATTTGATGCTGATATTGTCTTTCGAAATAGACATAGATTAAGCAAAATGAAAATAATCAGTATTTATTGAGTACCTACCACGGTGTCTTAGCTTGGGCTGCTATAACAAAATACCATAGATTAAATGGCTTAAACAGCACACATCTATTTCTCACAGTTTGGGAGGCTATAAGTCTAAGGCCAAGATGCTAGCTAATTTGGTTCCTGGTGAAGGCTTTTTTCAAGCCTAGAGACTCCCCACTGTCTTCTCAATGTGTTCACCAAACATGGTGGAGAGCAGAAGCAACTCTGCAGTGTCTCTTCTTAGAAGGGCACCAATCCTCTCATGTGGTACCCACCTTCATGACCTCATCTATACCTAGTTACCCCCAAAGGCCCCCTCGACAAAAACACCCACATATCCACTCATCATTGGAGGCTAGGGTGTCAACAATGAATTGAAGGGGGGGGATGGGATACAATTCAGAGTATCGTCTGCCTGATTACATTTGGATGAAGTTTAAGAGCAGATCAAAGAAATCAATGCTGCCAGGCACGGTGGCTCACACCTGTAATCCTAGCTACTTGGGAGGCTGAGCTTGGAAGGATCAAGGTTCTAGGCCAGCCAGGGGAAATAGTTCATGAGACCCCATCTCCAAACTAACCAGAGCAAAATGGACTGGATGTGTGGCTCAAGCAGTAGAGTGTCTGCTTTGTGCATGTAAAACCCTGAGTTCAAACCCCAGTCTCACACAACACAAAAAGTAGTCAATGATGACGAAGTTGGATAGTTGCAGTACAGAGAGGCACTTGACAGAGGAGGGGTTGTGTGGGTACACCCTGGAGCACTGAAAAGTTCTGTCTGTATCTTGGCTGTGAGTGCCCAAGCATTCTAAATAGTTAGAGAATGATTTATGCTCACTGCACATACGGAATACTTCAATAAAGCATGTTATCAAATGAGAGGACAATGGGTCCAAACGACAGAACTGGACACGTGGGTGGAACCCAAAGGTCACAAAGGCACATTTACAGATCCAGCCAATGTGGTTGAAGTAGCACTGCAGAGCCGGGCTGGACTCAAGAAACCTGCTCTCAGCCTGACTTGCTGCAAGGTGGCTATGTCCACCCTGCCTTAGCAAGACCAGCGGCGACGAGCTGCGGTCTCGCCAGGACCCGGATGACTTCCCATAGTGCTCCATCCTGCCTCCCTCAAACTCGCCAGCAACCTCCGCTCATAGGAGGCCTACAGAACCATGGCATAGATGCACCTCTATGACTTGGGGACAGCAGTGGCTCCCCAGACCAATCACATGTAGGCAATACACACACACTCTGCTCTTTGTAATCACATCCCCACATTATTTGCTTTCCTTACTTTCACATGCTAAATTGTACAAACTTGTTTGGATGTGAAATGTCCCCCAAAAGCTCATGTGTTGAAGACTTGATCCCCAGTGCAACAGTGTTCAGAGGTGAGGCCTTGGGGAGGTGACTGAATCACGAGGGCTCTGAACTCATGAATGGATTAATCCATTGATGGATTTATAGCTTAATGGGATACCAGGAAGTGGGGCGTAGTTTGAGAAAGTAGGCAATAGGACTATGAATAGGACTGTGTGTGGAAAAGTGTGTTTTGTTTCCTGCCCTGCCCTGTCTCTCTCTGCTTCCCTACTGCCACGAGGCAAAAGCTCCAATCCACACAAGCCAGCCAACTAAGGACTGAAACCTCTGACACTGTGAGCCAAAATGAATTTTCCTCCTTGACAATGATTTTCTTGAGTACTCCACCTCAGTGATGGAAAGCTGGTTAACTCAGCACTTAACACCTGTCAGCTACACTTGATCCTATCAGGCTTCAGTCATGCTTAACACACCAAGGACAGCAAAAGGCTCACCCAGTCCTGGGATGGGTCCTGGGGACTGCACTGCATTTTGGAAGGGCTGATTCTGGTTTTAGGGAGACCAGAACCCAGACAGAGCAGCTTGGTGGTAGGTACAGGTCCTCATCCAATTTCATTCAATGGGCCAAATGTTTATAGAGCACCTAGTAGATAGCACCTAGTAGATAGCACCTAGTAGACACAGACCCTGCCTGAGCCACAGAGATAGCTTAGTGAACACAGAGAAATGCAGGTCCTGGGCAGCTTACACTCCAGTGCAAAGTTCCAGAAAATAAAGCAGCAGTACATAGTCCCTAGGGAGCCTCTGCCTGCAGACTGCCACCCTACCCATGGAAATCGGTCGATGACACAGAGGACACCCCCTCTACAGGGACCTGGAAGGCTCTTCAGCATGGGGTCATGCAATGCCACAGAGCACAGAGGCATTGGTGATGCTGGGGCCTAGGACCAGGGAGGAGGCTTGCTCTGTAAATAGCCATGAACAGATACTGATGGTGACAAGGACAGGGAAAAGACCACTGCCCCTGAGCCAGATGACAGAGGGTAGGGGTCTGAGGCAGGGGAAGGCTGGATGCAAACTTCTAATACTCCTTCCTGTCCACAGCGTCCTGTGCTATCAGGTTTCCCAAGAGCCTGGGAACCCAGGCTTGGCAGGAAGCCCAGATTCACCTAGAAATCTCTGCAGTGGAATGCACCCAGAAGAGGCAGGTGACTGAGAGTTTAAATTAAGCCGTCCCACATTATGCTGCCATTTGGAGCTATCCCCTTTTGTTCTAGGAGCAACCAGTGGCCAGACAGCAATGTCAAGTTCCCATGCTAGATGGAGCACATGGATACAGCTGTGGGAGGCCAGGCAACCCAGCATCCTAATCTGGTCATTTTGGCTCAGTTTTCCAGGCTACGACTTGCAGGTTGTCTCCATGCAAGTCTCCTGAAGGCATCAACGTGTTTGTGCAGAACATTCACCGTGACTTTGTAGCTTTCGTGGGAAAGGTGCTGCCAGTATACACCAAGCCGTGGCTCATGCCCTCAGCTGCAGAAATCCACCCCAAACCACACACCTGATGTTGAGGGGGGTCCAAATATTTGGATCAGCGTGACCCCTGCGACTGTGACTGGAGATGTGCATATACTATGATTCCCAGTGGTTCTTATGTTTCCTGCATCTTTGTATTACTGTGGTGGGGCAGGAAGAAGCTGAATTCAAGCTGGTGGTGGAAGCTGCTCGCATGCACGGGGTGAGTCATCTGTGGGCAGGAAGGCACCCTACTGTCATGAGGTTAAGCCACACAGAAATGAGAGCAGAGCTGCAAGGACTTGTCCACCTGGAGACTGGAAAGAGGTTTTGGTCAGAAGTGCAGTGTAAACAAGTGCTCCAGTGCACGGGCTGGTCCAGGAGGCTAGTCCTGCAGGGAGACCAGGTTCTATTCCCTTGAGCAGTGGAAATTCCTGACAGCCCCCTCTCCCATTTGTTTACCATTTAGATAGCTGAATTGCACCAAGAGTCCCCTCAGTAGCCCAAGGCCACTAAGCTAGAGCCTGGGTCTCCACCTTCCTGGACCTGCAGGGAGTGCCCCAGGTCCCTGTGGAGCCTTTCAGGTCTTCTCTCTGAAGATGAATCCAAACCAGGTGGTCACCAGGTACTCAATGGGCAAGCATTGACCCATGTGCTTTTGCTGGCCCCAGACGGGGTGTGATCCCAATAGCACTTCTCCTCCTGCCGGTTCTTACTGTCCTCTGTGAGCCGTGGACCCTCTGCTAGACTGCGCCTCATCTGGGATGAAAGATGTGGGCAAAACAAAAACCAACAAAACAAACGCCACCACTCAGCTCATTTCCTCTGCTGCTGCCGCTCACTCTTTGTAAAGTCATTTTGGCTGCCCTGGTGGCTGAAAGTGTGAGTAGGCAGAGCATGAAAGCTTGATGTGCTAGACCCACATCTGCATCTTCCTTTGGGGTAACTTGTTGAAAGTCCTTGAGTCTGGCTTCTGGGGACTGCTGGTACTGAAGAGGATGGCTGTGTGTGGAATAAGTAAGAAAGGTACCAGAACAAAGCTGGATGCAAAAGAGCCCACCCTCCCTCCCCAATAGTGAATAATCACCATTATTATTTAATGTATTTTTTTGTCTCTCACTGTCAGAAGCAATCCTGGAAAAAAAAAAAACAACTAACTGAACTTCAGTGTCCATTTAGTAAATGACGATTCAAGAAAAAGTGTAAGACCCTTGTCCTGAAACACTGGAGAGTGAAAAGATTTATTAAAGATCAATTCTTCCAGACAGAAAACAAAGCATAGGTAAGAGAGCAAGAAGGCTAAAACAGAAGGAAACAGGAAAGGCTTCTGAAACTCAGGGTGATTTCTAAGTTGGATTGTGACTGACGTGTTTGTCATTTCCAGAAGGTGCACCTCTGCCAGTAGCTTGGCTGACTCCCAAGTCCTCACTGGACAGTCCAGAAGTATACTGCTCCAAACCATGAGGATGAGCCTCCTTTGTCCCCCTCTCCCCTGTGAAGTACTGCAAAGCATCAGGCCTTGGTGCCCAGCCTGCAGAGGCCTGCCCTGCCTGGGGAGGGTCCCAGGAGACTTCCATTTCAGTGGGCTCCAGTGGGGAGGGAACCTCCTGATTTTGAATACTTTTCATCCTGAACTGTCAGAGAACCGAAAGTATACGTGGTGCAAGACAGAAGGGAAAACTGGTCAGGACAGTCCACACCTGGAGCCGCTGGAGCCCTGCACCTGTAAACTGTCCCCAGGCGGATCTGAAGCCATTTCCTTTCTAACTGTCAAGTTTAGTCTCCTTGTGTGCTCTGATGGCTCCTGACCTGGACTGGTTGATCTTCACAGTCACCTGACTGACCTCAGTACCTGCCCTCTCCTCCTTCCCCAAATGTCCTCTACCTGCTGCAGCGGGGAGCCTTGCCATGAACCCTCCCATGAACCCTCCCAGTATTTTCTGGGAACAGTATTGGGATCTGATCTCCCAGCGCTCACCTCTCCCCTGCAGAAGGGTCTGGAAGCCTCACCCAGAACCAACGCTTTCCCTGGTGGCCCAGGTAGGGTCGGAGTCTGCTCCTAGGGCTCCAACGGGCCCGTCAGCACTGACGCGGGGTTCAGCCCCCACGACCCCGGCCCTTGTCTTCTGGGGGTGCGCGCAGAGGCTTTCGGGGGCCCAGGACCCCCGCGGGGTGAGAATGACAAGAGGTGGGAGGGGGGTCGGAACACGGCACGCGCATCCCCGACGTGAGGGGCGCCCATTGCCAGAAAGCCAATTCGTCCCGCCCCGCTCCCGTTCCCCCCTCACCGGTCCCCGCTCCCCCCTCCCCTCCCCTCCCCCCCCACCTCGTCCCCGGCTCCCCCCTCTCCTCTCCCACCCGACTTCCGCTCCCACCTCCCCTCCCCCCTCCTCTCCCCGCCTCACCTCGTCCCCGGCTCCCCCCTCTTCTCCCCCCCCGCCCCCCACACCTCGTCCCCGGCTCCCCTTCCCTCCCCCCTCACCTCATCCCCGGCTCCCCCTTCCCCTCCCCCCCTCACCTCGTCCCCGGCTGCCGCGTCCGCGCGGCCCCGCCATGCGCGCCCGCCAACTCCGCGCCGCGAGCGGATGGCCGTGTGGCCGTGGGGTCCCGCCTATGTCTACCCGCCGTCCCTCCGCCACCCCGAGTCCCGGCGGTCCGCCCTGGGTGTCCCACGCGGTCCCTTCCCCTCCCCCGTGTCCCCAAGTCGGGTTGTTGCTAGCTGGGACCCCCGCCCCCACCCCGCCCCGCGCGCCGAGGTCATCGCGGGTCCTGGGCGCAGCTGAGCAGCTCCCGCCTGACTTCCGTCCAGCACCAGGTGGGGTCTACCGCAGCTTTGCACCTGGCACACCGAGGTCGGGGGACTGGCTGGGGACCTGAGGCCGACTGCCCGTGACTTCCAGGGGACACATCTGCTGGAGCTTCCCCCTGGTGAGCCCCACTGGGCCGAAGCCCAAGGATGGGGTGGGGGCGTGTGTGTCAATGGTGGGGGGTGGCACTTTTTTTCTTTTGGCGGCTCTGGGGTTTGAATTCAAAGCTTCATGCTTGCTAGGTGGGCGCTCTACCACTTGAGCCACTTGCCCAGCCTGGGTTGGCAGTTTGGGGACACGCGCGGGCCACCTGGGGCCTTGAAGGCCCATTAGTGCACCGGAAATCACCGCCCAGTGACCATCTGCCTTCTAATTCTGCTGCTTTGCTGCTGTCCCCAGTCCTTTTGAAGTCACATCTTATTAAAAAAACAAAAGGAAATCTAGGTTGACATACTTTTAAATCTGTTTTCATATTATGATCTTTCTGGGAAAAGGCTCCCAGCATTACATCCTCCCATCCACCCTCTGAGGAACTGTCCTGTCCTGGTCACAAAGTGGGAGTAAGGACTTCTTTGGGCCAGTCCCATCTGCGGGCTGCCCTGTAGGCTGGGGGAGGCGGGTACGGTTTTTCTTTTTTTGGGGGGGTTTGGGGTTTTTTTTTTCCTTCTCCCAAGAGGTTGGGTGAGTGAGCTGGGGAAAGTCCAGGCTGCCCTTAGTTCAAACCCCCTTGGAGCGGTTCTACTTCCACTGCTGTGAAAGGCCACATGGATTCCACGCAGAGGACAGCAGTTTATATTTGGAGACTACTTGTTGCCGCAACAGTGATCTTGGCTCCCACAGTGACTGTAGTTGAGTTCAGGCCACAAGAACCAGGAAATAAACTCTAGTTACCCCCTGGCAGGCAGTCAGTGGTATCAATATCACTGGATGGAGCAGAATACAAAAGCCGGATCAGAAATGCACACTCCAAACTCCTTGGTCAGGTAGCCTTACAACAATTGTGTCAAGAGCCTGTCTGACTTCATTCTTACCACAGAGATATCTCTTGTAGACTTGAGGGAGAAAGCCTGTTTCTCCTTTGGAACAAGAATCAGTAGAGTGACAAATACACACACACACACACATCTTTGTGAAAGGGGACAAAAGTGTTTGAAACTGGTTAAAAACATCTGCCTTCTTTCCAGAGAGACAAATGAAATTCGCACTTTTTCAGTAATCAAGGTGGGCTGCTCCATATTTTGCCTCCCCTCTTTCCTAACTAGGCGGATGGATGAATGACATTTACTTTGGGTCGCTGCGTTGTGGAGTCCCTTTTATAACCACAATTCAGAAAGGGTGGAATCATTGTACTTTTTTTTTTTTTTTTTTTTTTTTTTTATAGTTCAACATTTTTTTTTTTTTAGCAGTGCGGGGATTTGAAGTTTGCTAGGCAAACTTTCTACCACTTGGGCCACACCTCCAGTTCCTAGTTTGATGTATTTTAATAGCAAACTTACAGAAACAGACAATATTAAAAATGTACTTGGGCGTTAGGCACTCAGAAAAGTATAGTGAATGGAGGCCTGCTGTGTGATAAAAATGCTACAGACACCATGGCGTGCCATCAACAAGAATCTTACTTTAAAAATCCAAATGCTGGCATTTTTTAGAAAATTTTAACAGGTTTTTTTTTTTTTTAATGTTGCAAAGTTGAGCTACTAAAACTTGTTCACTGAATGGTGGAGGGGGCAGATTCAAGTATGATATATTTGATAAATTGTAAGAACTTTTGTAAATGCCACAATATCCAGCATACTGATTAAAAAAACCAAAACTTGCTCACTGAAGCATTTTAATTTACATTAATGTTTTATGCCCCCACATTTAAATTAAAATTCACACTCAAATGAAAATACCTCATTTCTGTCCCCTGTTTTTTCCACTCTAGATCATATACTTAGGTAGGAAGAAGGAAAAAAAGATTCTTTTTAAGAATACAATTTTTCCCATTATTAATTCTTCCCTCCACAAATGCGGCGTGCTACCTGGATATCTTCTGGCATAATTGCTACATGTCTGGTGTGAATAGCACCAGTACACATCCTCAAAAAGGCCAACCAGCTGGGCTCCATCTGCCTCTTGCAAAGCACCAATAGCTGTAATCTGTGTGCACAGGTCTGGTTGGAAGTCCTGAGCAATTTCTCACACCAGAAACTGGGACTTTGCAAACACAAGTTCAGTGGACTTCTGATAGCATTTAGATAGATTTTTTTCTTTTTTGGTACTGGGGTTTGAACTCAGGGCCTTGCTCCTGCTAGGCAGTTTTCTACCACTTGAACCATGCCCCCAGCTTCTGATAGCATTTAATTTCAGAGCACCACTGTACCAGACTGGTAACAATGAGGTTTCTTTGCCTTCTGGTGGAGGGTGCACTCTCGAAGGAAGTTGTGTGGCCAGGTGTTTCCTGGGTGCCACCTGTAGAGACCGTCTTACTTACCCTCCATCTTCCTTGGCTGGTGCTAGCTGAGCTCAAGGTGGTGCTGGCACTGGAGAGCCATGGCAGTGGAGCAGGAGTGGAGGCTGAGAAGGTGTTGTTGTATCTATTTCACAGATGGGACAGCTGAGGCGCTGAGAAGTGTAGTGAGTTGTTCAAACAGAAGGACTGACTGAGGCCCCCCATGGAGCTCCCTCTCACAGGTAAGAATTCTCTAAGACTTCTATTTTGAAACTCCTCAAATTATGCTTACCATGTAGCAAACTTTATTTATTATTATTATTAATTATTATTATTTTGGTGGTACTGGGATTTGAACTCAGGGCTTCATGCTTGCTAGGCAGGTGCTCTACCACTTGAGTGTCTCCACAGCCCTGTTTTGTGTAGGGTATTTTCGAGATAGGGTCTCTGGAACTATTTGCCTAGGCTGACTTTGAACCATGATCTTCCTGATCTCTGCCTCCTGGATAGCTTGGATTATAAGCTTGAGCTACCAACACCTGGGACGCAGCAAACTTTAAGTGCATTTTGAATGAATGAATTATATGGAAAGCATTAGAATAAAGTAAGGATTTTTCTTCCTGCTTCCCTCAGATCTATTAAAGAATCACTGACAGATGAAAATTACATGTATTTATAATACACAGGTGAGGTTGTCATGAATGTATGCATTGAGAAACGATTAAATCAGGCTAATTAACAAGTTTTCTGTGTAGTGAGAGTACTTATGATGTACTGTCTGGGGAATTTTCAAGTGCATAAAGCATTATTTTAATATACTGACATGCAGTGCAGTAGGCTGTCCAGAATCTATTCCCAAGACTTGGACACTTTAGCCAGCACCCCTCCTCTGCCCCTCCCCGGCCCCTGGTGACAATCACTCTGCTCCCTGTTCTCCTGGGTTTCACTATCTTCAATTCCTCATCTAAGTGACATTGTGCAGTGTTTGTCTCTCTGTGCTGGATTATTTCATCTAGCATGGTGGTCTCTGTGTCCATCCATGTTGTCACAAACAACAGGATTTCCTTGTTTGTGAAGACGCAGTGTCACTCCATCGTGTGCACACACCACATTGTCTTTAGCCACCCATCCATGACCGCCTTTCCATGAAGCCGCTCACCAGCAGTGAGGTGGGAGTGTGGATGTCTCTGCCACACTGACGCCGTTTCCTTTGCAAGTATAAGCAGTTGCAGGGCTGTTGGATCCTATGATGGGTCTGCTTCTAATTTCTTGACGATTCTGCTCACTGTTTTTGATGATGGCTGTGATAATTCCTTTAATTTGAATTTATAAACTCCTGGGTTCCAATCTTTGCTCTGCCACTTTCCTTACCTGTAATCTGATGGTTATGATGTGACCTGTATCATTTTGAAAAATCTCTAAAGTCCCTGAAGCCAAGAGTGACCAAGATAAGGTAGGCAGGTCTCCTGGAAAGAGAGCTGGTGAGACCCTCAGCCATCTGCCTTGCACCTGGCCCAGGTGGAACCACCATGCATACAGGGGGAGGCTGGGTTCCTTAGGTCCCCACTGGGCAGCTCACTGAGCCATTTGTCTTTAGGCCACTCCATACTGGTACCTGGTGTTAGCAAAACTCTGTGCTGTGCAATTGTAGAGAATATTACTCTCCCATACCAGCCCACTGACCCAGCCCACAGTCTCCACCCCATGAGTCAGTGTTGGTGGACATTCTTGGTTCTCACTGGGTTTGCACAGTGGAAGCACAGTGCACAGCTACAAAGTGCCAAACCAGTCCTGGAGATTCCAATGTCATTGTGTAGGAGGGACCCTGACAAGTGACATCTTTAAAAAGAACTCAAGGTGACTCTAATGTACAGACAGAAGTAAGTCCCACTGAGTTGGTATGTGAGTGTAACAAACTAGGGAGAGTGACACTTGGGATTGGATGATTTTTTGCTGTGGGGGTCTGTCCTGAGCATGGTAGGACTTTGTGCAGCAGCTCTGATCTCTATCTGCTAGGTAAACAATGGCAAGGCCACAGTTGTAACTACCCATACTGTCTCCCACGGCAATGAAATCACACCTCACTGACAACCACCAAGGTGAACAACGAAGGGGGAGGAGAGAGGCCTCCCAGACTCCAGGACTCTTGGCATACAAGGCAGAGGCCCAGGGTAGCACCACCTGGGTATTCATTATACCTACAAAAATGCCCACACCCAGCACCCTGACCCAAGTGGTCATTTTAGCCATATCCCGGTTATCTGTGTGCACATGAAAGTTGGAGAGGGACTTCCAGACCTCTAGTATTATCCTGGAAGTACTTATAAACAGGGTTACTTCACCAAAATGCCAGTTCCCTAATGTCACCAGTGCCAATTCTGCATCTGGAGAAATATGACATGAGGTCATAGAGTGACAAGGTGTGAAAGCCTGAAAAGGTCATCTACACCTTCCAGATGAGAACAGTGGTGGCAATATCACTCATGAAAGCTGAGCTTGTCAGGGTGGGTGGCCAGGTGAGAGGATGAAGGAGATCTAAGGTGGACATTGCTGGAGAGTTTGGGTCAAGGTGGGGAAGGACCTGGTGAGGGGTCCTCACTAGTGAACTGGGTGAGCAAGCTGGCTGGTGTCACAGAGGTAGCCCCTTCCTTGTGTTTCCTTCCTGTGTTAGTCACTTTTTCCACCACTGTGACAAACACTTGAGAGAAAGAGAAGGAGGAAGGATTTATTTGGTGTCACAGTTTTAGTGGTTTCAGCCATGGTCAGTTGGCTCCATTGCTTTGAGTCTGAGACAAAGCAGAAACATCATGGTGGTGGGAGCATGTGGAAGAGAAGGCTATTCACCTCAGCATGGCCAGGAAAAGAGAGAGAGAGAGAGAGGGAGGAAGAGAGGAAATAGACAGATTCATTACATGTGCCCTTTGGTGCAATTAACCTTCATGTTGGCTGCACTTCCTGCTGTGTAGCAAGGGGCTTCCCTTATTTGGGTTAGGGTAATGTGGAAATAGGAGTCAGATAGACTGGCCTCAGCCATCAGAGCACAAACATGGTGGCCACACCACCTGCAGAGCTGTTGGGGACAGAGGCCAGGCCCACCATCTAGACCACCCTGTTTTCTGGAGAGACCAACCCTAGAGTCCCCTCTGGCTTCCCAGGAACATTGGGGCTAACCCCCAAGAGCAAGGAAAGTCAAAAAAGGATAGGCAGTGGAGGGGCACATGGTGGAAGTGAGCTATGTGGTGGAGGCCAAGAGGGTGGCCCTGGGGTTTCCAGCTCAGTAGCACCTCCACCTGGCCTCCCAGCTTACTCTCTCCTTTTCTGCCTCGCATTTCCCATTGCACCACTGGTTAACCTTTAATTACTGGCAATGTGAACCCTTCTCAGCTGGCCTCAGGTTCCCTAAGGGAAGGTCGGTCGGGGTCTTTGATCTGAATCCCCAGGACCCAGGCCTGGCCTGAGTCACATAGTGCTCCCATAAATATTTGTGGAGTGACTGAATAAATGAGTGAGCAAACAGGTCAAGAATGTGGTTTATTTTAATGATAACCAAAGGAATTGCCCCTTCCTTCTTCCAGTTCCTCCCACTATTTGGCCCACTGCAAATTTACTGCTTTTAACAAAGTGACTTGGGATTTCCCCAGCAAAGACCAAGGGGAGAACCTCCATGATCCCAAAGCTAGGACATAATACTGTTAATTGGGTTTTTTCTCTTCTTGTGTGAACACGTCCGAGTTCTGAGTGAGGTTATCAAATGCGTCCGCCATCCAGTCATTCCTACGTTCCATGGAAGAGTATGATTAGCTCTTACTGTGTCCCATGAAACATGTGAGTGCTGGGGAAGATAAGCAAGGATGTCACTGTGTCACACAAACCTATCCAGGAGGGTGGTACGGTGGGTGTTGATCTCTCCATTTTATAGGGAAAGAAGTGACCGAGCAGCCCGTTCCCCACCAGGTGGGACAGCTGATCTGCAGAAGCCTTTCAAAGGCAAACCTGAGACTCAGTACTTGAGCTCTGTTCTAATTGATGCAGGAAACAAGGGCTTTGCTAATAATCCAAGTGAGGCTGTCCCGTCAGGAATCATGAGAAAAACCACCCCTGGAAAGGGACTGAGACATGGCCTTCCTGCTGGGGTCTCAGTAGAGTTCAAAGTGCTCTTCCCTGCCAGTGCAGATGGCAGGTGGGGGATGGGTGCCTTGGCAGGGCTTGGAAGGCACAGGTGGCTTGACTTGAGGCTCAGCAGCTCTCCAAGAACAAAATAAATACAGTTTTTCTGAGTGTGTGTGTGGTGCACAAGTAGCTCTAAACACACACGTGCACATGTGTGTGCACATAGGTACACATCACACAGTACACTTAAAATTTGTAACTGGCTGAGGACCAAAATGTTCTAATCAGATTGTACAAAGCCTAGAGACATGCAGACAAGGAACCATTCATTTGCTATCTTGGGGAAAGAACTGTTGAGTGTTTTTCAGGGGCCAGGCACCATGTAGGATCCTGGTGGAACAGTGAAGGCCACACCCACTGCCTCCTTTCCAAGAGGGGACAGTCAGGCTGGGATCCAGGCCAAGTTAATCACCACTGTCAGGGCAAGTGCCTGGTGGAGATTTTCCTCTACTGTAACAGAATTAGGAGGGCATGAGGCCAGACAAGGCCTGGAGGCTAAGAGGCAGTGAGTGACTGGGGAGGTGTGTAGGGAAAGTGGGGCCAGGTAAAGGGGTGCAGCCTAGACCTTGCAAAACAGGGCCCATGACTATGCAGCTTTGCCTCGCCAGGGAACTTCTCAGAAAGGCTTTGCTCCAGACCCACAGAACCAAGTGTACACTTTAACAGAGCCTCAGAGGACCCCTGTGCATGGTTGACCCCAACAAGCCAGACTTAGAGAATTCTGTGTAGAGACACTGCAGAGCCCTGGAGACAAGAGGGAATGCAGGGCCAATAAAGGGAGTTTCATGCAGGCAGGCAAGCAAGAGCCTAGAGCCAGAAACAGGAAAGCCATTGTTCTGCCACCAGAAAAGGAAAAGGATGAGGAGGGTTCCCTGATCAGAGAGAAGGGGGAAGAAATCCTCCACTCAGCCTTCCAATTTCCATGCAAGTCACAGGAACTTGAAATCTTTGATGAAAAGCATCTTGAAGGGTTTCACCAATGGACTGGAGTTGTGGCTCAAGTGATTGAGCGCTTGCTTTGCAAGTGCAAAACCCTGAGTTCAAACCCGTACTCGCAAAATAGAAGTTTAGC